TTATATATGGGATCGGATTTCCTACATTTTTTTCAACCGATTTCAACAAAACTTCACTTTTTTTTTGTCAAGTAGTGTTTTTTATTGTCTTGCACACTTTTTTCTTTATTTTTACATTCAGAATGCTTTAAAAATTCCATTTATAAGACAATTGTTTATAATAAAATTCTACTCAATCTGTAGACTCATAACGATTGAAATCAATGCTTTTGTTTGAGTTTGGATTTGACCAATTCGTAAAAAAAAAAAAAAAAAAAAAAAAAAAAACTAAATAAGAAATGCGTGTCCGCCAACCTTAAACAATAATCTTTGTCAATTTTATTTTTCAGTCTTTACGATGGTCGATACTTGATCTATCTCTTACTGTTACATCCCCGGGCAACGCCGGTCTCTCCTGTTAGTATCTTATATTGTTAATATTGTGACCGTCAATAATGAATCCTGGTAGGACTTCAAGAATTCTCTCAGAATTGCCTCACTGTATATGCTGAATAAGTCCCTGTCTTACAATCCTTTCTATTTTTGCTGAATACATTTTCGGTTCGAATGCAGGCGGTTTGCTGATAACCATGCATTCTGTCTTCTTGTATTTTGTTTTAAGTCTTTTCTTCTCTCTTTCTTTCGCTAACTTCTGTAGGAGATCTTGTAGTTTCCTTTTTCGTGTCTGCTATCACTACAAAAGATATCCATAGAAATTAATAAATTATTGTTATGGTCCGGTTCCTTGTACCACGGTGATAGTCCAAGGTAGAACCAATAAAGAAGAACTCTAACACAGGTATGGAATAACACAGATATATTACAAACAGGAATATATACAGAGAAGTAGAAGTGTTAGTATGAACAATCAGGTTTAGTAGAGAGAACAATGTAGTCTCGACCAGTATAACTACTAGTATTCTACTAACAACGTATTCACTGAAATAGTTAATTATCTTTTGTTGACTTTTACTTCTTTGTTCTTATTAAGTATTTATTTGTGGTTGTAATTAAATAGTTTTATTTTAACATTGATGTCTTGAGTTATACTTAATCATTAGCGGCCATCGTTCGCCACAAAACATAGAACGCGATGTGCTAGTAAGAGCGTTTAACAGCACAGAACAGTAAAATCAACGAGTCGAGTTTAAATCCCAGTCGTTGATTTGAACAGATATCCTGGGAAAGTTATGAAATCTTATATTGTCCTCCAGTTGGAGATTAGCATCAAAGCAGACTGAGTTGTCTAATTTTGGTTGGCAATCAGTCTAGGGAGAAGACTAAATCTTAATCCAAAACCGGTGAGGTGAGAAACTCTACTCAGTAAATACCTACTTGCTTCAGAAACCATAACAACACCCGGTGTGTTGAATCTATGGCTCTAATGCTCCAACCTGAAGTCTACTGGATTAAACATAAAATCTCAAGTCAGATCTGTTTTTCTGTTCTATTCATTTTGTCACGTTTTTCCCTGCTTTTTTTCTTGAATTTTATTTGCAATTTCAAACCCTTTTAGAATCAGTTTTATAATCTGGATGTTAAAAATGCCAGGAGGCATGATGTCATCGGAAATGAAGCGGAAGAAACAGAAACGGAGCAGAAAATGTGCGAACGCGGGTCATATTTTAAAATCAAAATGGCGGCAACAATTCTAGATTGTTTTATTGTTATTACTTGTTGCTTTCTTTCTCTGGTATAAGAATAAATGTTGTTTTTTTAAAAAAGTGTTTTATTAAAAGTCTTCCTTTTAACTTGCATTCTATCCTCGACTTAAAGGGATTTTACTCCATCTTCAATGTTTAATATAGACAGATGCGAAGTAACCGGTAAACGGAAGAGAAAGAGAATAAATGTCAGCATTGTGATAAAATGAAAATCATAACGAATGCACTAATTATGATAGCTTACCGCCACATTACGTTGAAATATCGATTCTTGTACACTCACTGAAGATAAGCAAGGCCAAGCCTGGTCAGTACCTAAATGGGTGACCGTTTGGGAATACCAGGATTTGTAAGCTTAGATGTGCAGGTGATGTAATGAATTGGAAATGCAGTTTTTATTGCGGATTAGTTATATTCACTTCGGCGTAAATGACCTTGGGAAAGCTATGAATCCAACTTCCCCCCAACTATGGGTTAATTAGTAGGATTTGTATCAGTAGATGATTAATATCTCAAAACCAGTTGTAACAATCTAAAAATATTTCCTGGCTTTAAATAATCTGGAAAAGCTTGATAAGTCGTAAAATAAAGAAGATCAATCGATTAATTATGGAGAAAAAGTATAGTAAAAGCTTGTGGAATAATAATAATAATAATAATAATGATAGGTGAAGAAATGCAAGCAAAGCATAATACACCGAATGCAGCTGTAAAATATTTAAAAAAGAAAGCAAAGACCAATGCAACCGACCAGATAAGGAAACGATGTCAAGATAAACCGCCCAACGGTCAATACTCTTCCCGTACCAAACAAGCTGATGTAGACAAACCCCGTACCTATCAGTGGCTTATGTCGTGCAAGGTTAAAAGCTGAAACAGAATGTTTTATTCTTGCTGCACATGACCAATACTTGCTAACTAGAAATTATCATGTACATATACTAAAAATTGTGTTAGCATAAAATGCAGATTCTGTGATTAATATCCAGAAACAATTGATCATCTTATATCAAGTTGCGCGGTATTGGCACCCACTGAATATAAAACACGGCATGACAGCGTGGGCCAATATCTGCACTGGAAAATCAACATTTACGGAAAGGAAACAGCAAGAAATTGGTATGAAAATCACACAGACTTAGGAAGATATGTCCTGTAACAATTTTATGGGACTTTACAATACACACAGACAAAACAATCGCTCAGACATCGAGATTACAGATCGAAAAGATACCATGTGACTCCTACAGACTGCAATGTATCTTTGAAGATCTTCAAAAAAAAAAAAACTAACAAAATACAAGAACCTTGAAATCGAAAGCATAAAAATCGAGCACATGAAGACATTAACAATTCCAGTTGGAGTTGAAGCCCTCGGATTGACTGAAAAAAGATTCCAAAAGTCTCATTAATGAGATTCCTGGTAGCCCATGCCTTTAAGAAATACAAAAAAATTGTTCTCATGACTACAGCCCACACCTTACGAAGGGTTTTATCCATGTAAGATATGTGTGATTATTATTTATTTATTTATTTTTTATTTTTTAAATTGCTCAGTGAAAAATGCTATGTTGGCATTTCTGACCTTTGGTCTCTGGACAGGAACCGGAAAGAAATGAGTACTCACCACAAATCAAAAGAAATAATAATAAAAATAACCAAACACAAATAATTAAGTACCGGAATTCCCCATGTATAATACGCATTTTTTCTAAAAAATAATAATCATAATTAAGGATGCGTATTATGCACAGCTACAAAAATATATTTAAGAAATTGCCGTTTCATGGGTCGACAATTTGACAGTAGCAGTTGGCGATTGAGACCCCATAAGGACGTCAAATAGAATATGTACATAACAATACTTACAGAAGTAAAATAAAATAAGAATTATCATAAAATTAAATTAGAATAATATTATTTTATGTTTAAAACCATTTTTTAAATAAGAGTAGAAAAAGCTGGCCGGTATGAAATTGGAGAGCTACAGTTTATAGGGTTTGATTACCAAACAAGGGGTGCGCATTGTGCGGGTATAGAAGCATTTTTCCACACTTTCAGAACAATTTTAGGGATGCGTATTATGGATGAAGGCGTATTATACATTATTATTTATTATTAAACAATAATAGAAAACGAGTAAAACGTTAACTAAAAATACTATAAAATTGATACAAATAATCGCATTCGTTTCTCCAATTATTCTTAGTCAATAGCCACTAGAATAATTCGAAGCAAAACTGTTTCCACCTCCTTAAAAACCGTTAGGATAATACAACAGACAAGGAGTCAGCAACCAACGGCACGCATGCCACACATGGCACGCCATGCAATTTACAATGGCACGCAGCAGCAAATGACATCACGAAGTCCGAACCAATAAATACTACAACGCAAAGATATTTAGCTTTTTCAATTTTAATATATGCTAAAGTATATATAAAATATATTGTTGAACATCGACATCTCCAGTTACCTTGATCTATCCACTATCCCTCTCCTCATCCTTTCTTCTGTCACTCCTATCTGCTCTTGCTCCAAATCTTCTGCAACCCCCTGTATCCTAGTGGCTTCACGCCTTGCTCGGGGCGTAATGCTTAAAAAAAAAAAAACGGTATATTGACCTTGAATTGCATAAAAATACGGATGCTGTTGACACACTGAATGATTTTATAACCCTAAGTTGGCATATAGTTAGCAATATATCTTATTACCCATAATACACCATTGACCATCATATATAAATAGTCGAGCAGAAACACAACACACTTGGGCTGAAGATTGCTTTCACGCATGAAACAGATTGTCGCCGCTTGGTTTTGACTTCAGTGCCCTCTCTTATATTTAAAAAAAATCAATTTTCACATTTAAAAAAAATCAAGCAAACATGATATCTGTCATAATACAATCAAAAACGGTTTTTTGGTAATAGAGTTAAAACTAAAAGATCCTTGTGCCATCTAAAGCCAAGAACTGAATGAATGTTTTGATTAACGCGATACAAAGATAATAGGAAACAAATGTGATTATAAAACGGTATTATTTTAAAACTAAAGCAATGTAATGTTATTTGAAATCTCTTTAAGCTCACCCCCGTATAAAATCCCAATTTATAAGTCCATTTATTGAAGAATAATGTCATTTGAGGCCTGACACAACTTACTATATTTTCTTTGCCTTTCTCTCTTCCTTCCTTGCTCGGATCAACCCCAAGCCACCTCTTTGTTCAACGAGATCAGCAAACCGTCTGCCCGAGTCTTGATCATTCCATCTACCCTTCCTCCGGCAGTTTATTCCTAACGGTATTCAGCGGAATAGGTTTGAGGTGGGCGATGCAAGAAAATCGACAATCGAAGTTCACATGAAACACAGGAATGAAACACAACAAAAGAAGAAATAAATCAATTTCTTTCGCGAAAGAAAAGAAATGGCTATAAAAGAAATGTAAAAAGAGGGGAAAAAATAGATAAATAACTAAAAATTTTGGGAAGAAAACGCAGGAAAAAATATAATTGTCAGGTAAAGGAAAATTTAATTTCCGTTAGAATTACTCCTTTCATTAAGAATCTAATTGTAAAATTTTATCCGCTTAGTCCGGCAGGAGATCGTGTTGGTTGACTACCTCGATTCTGACGAGAGAGAATTAATTAATGAAATTGATTCATTCAATCATTGCAACTCTGAAACGAAGCAAGGAAAAGAGATAAACGAAGAAACAGAGACAAAATATAAACAAAAGCTGACGCATTATAAAATGGTAAAAAGAAAAAAAAGGAATAATCACTAGCAAAAATCGATATAAAATAAATAATTTTCCTTAATTACTGATTCGTTTCTTGTTTATAAATTTAGTTCATTTAGATTTTTTTTTATTACTTCTGTATTTTGGTATATCTTTTTAAAAACCTTCTTTTTTTTTCAATTCCGACGTTTAATTATTTTTCTTTCTCATTATTCGTCTAGTTTTGCTTAATTTGTTACTTAGCGGACTGTAATGAATAATCGAAGATGGCGAAGGCAGAAAGAGTTTTTTTTTAAATTAGATAAATGAAAGATTATTATTATTATTATTATTATTATTATTGTTGTTGTTGTTGTTGTTGTTGTTTATCTTTCTGTTATTGTTGTTGTTGTTATTGTTCTTTCGTTTCTTAGTATGTACGTTACGCCCTGCCAATGCCTCATAAATGATGGACTCTTCTGTTTCGGTCGCTAAGATAGACGGAAACGGTGTATCAATGACGCTGTTCGGCTTCGGTGAGAAAGAAAGAAAGAAAGAAAGAAAGAAAGAAAGAAAGAAAGAAAGAAAGAAAGAAAGAATAGAGAAATAGGAAAGGAATAGGAAAGAAAGAAAGAAAGAAAGCAACAAACAAACAAAGAAAAAAGAAAGAAAGAAATAGGAAAGAAAGAAAGAAAGAAGAAAGAAAGAAAGAATAGAGAAATAGAAAAGGAATAGGAAAGAAAGAAAGAAAGAAAGCAACAAACAAACAAACAAAGAAAAAAGAAAGAAAGAAATAGGAAAGAAAGAAAGAAAGAAAGAAAGAAGAAAGAAAAAAAGAAAGAAAGAAAGAAAGAATAGAGAAATAGGAGAGGAATAGGAAAGAAAGAAAGAAAGCAACAAACAAACAAAGAAAAAAGAAAGAAAGAAATAGGAAAGAAAGAAAGAAAGAAAGAAAGAAAGAAAGAAAGAAACAAGAAAGAAAGAAAAGCTAGAGAAGGCGATAACATTATTAAGTGTTTAATATCTGCTTTAATGAACTGGAAAGAATTTTCATTTTTAAATCTTTTCATTTGTCCTCTCTTATTTCTTAAAATAATGACCTTTATTAATACATATGATTTATGTTGCAATAAGTTGTTAAATATTGTTTCAAATCTTTTCATTTGTATCCTCTTACTTCTTTAACCTGCATAAATACTTATGATTTCTATTGCAATATTTGCGTAAAGCTGTTAAGCTGAAATATTTAATGATGCAACAGGAGAATTTTATTGTCGTAGAACCTGCAAGAAGATTATTTAATCATTCATTTATGATTCATAAGAAAATTCAAATAGGAATATCCTGAAATTTTCACTGCTTCTTCTAGTTATTATTATTATTATTGATCAAAGGAGCATTAGAAGTGACGCTGGAATACAAATATACGAAGGCCACAATAATAATCAGTCTAATAAGGGTATATGCATCATAGCCAGTATATGCGTTATCTTGACAGAGTTGATAAAATTTCATCAAATTGTAGTTGAGACCCCGTTAGAAATATCTTTATACCCATCAAACTTAAAATAACAAGCCTCTTGACACCGGACAGTCAGGATCGCCGTTATTTATCGCTAGAAATCGAGGGATATCAGTCTCCTCAAATCTCCAGTGCTTTTCTGAGTGTCATCTGAAACTGTAGCAATGCCGAAGACTGACAGTGTCAATGCTTTTCCAAATACATTCGCAATATATTTACAGGTTGTGAAAAAAAAAATAGCATGCAGGATAGCATGCAGAAATGTCCAATTTGAAATTCTTCAGGTCGGGCAACCCAGTCCTCTGAGACGGTCTCCGATTGAGAGTGTTCACAAGTACCTAGATGTGACTCTCAAATCACCTTAACGTCGTCATCGTTCAAACTTAGAAAAAAAACAAATTTTATTCCTTTATTAATCCCGCTCATGAACAGATACTTAAAGTGTGTCATTCAATAGGAGACATGTTCAATTGGTTATGATCAAATGACAAGCAAATCTGTGATACTGAACGGGATATTTCCTGAACCCCTTCTTAAGGCACTAGACAAAACAGGTAAATGTTAAAATCTCCACTCATTTAAGATAAGAAGCCAAGACTATCAGTGAATTTATTATTATTATTATTATTATTATTATTATTATAATAATAATTCTAATACTACTAGTACTAGTAGTAGTATTAGAATTATTATTATTATTATTATTATTGTGAGAAAATAAAACAAAACCCTAAGATCAAACATTTTTGACACAGATAAAGCTCTTGGTAATGTGTGAGCTGTGCTTGTGAGCACAACGTTTTGTAATTCATTCAGGTATGGTCTACCAGGAATCCTTACAGTCTATAGGAACCTTTTTCAATCAATCTGAGGGCTCCAACTTCAACTGGATTTATTGATGTCCTCATGTGCAACATTTCTGAAGTTTCAGTTATAATACCATTGTATTTTGATAGCTTTTTGAAGAACTTCAAAGATTACAATCTGCACGGACTGCCATATCGATAAGTAAAGCGCATTCTTTTTTTTGTGGTCCCTGATCACAATGTCTAGGGGATTAGATTTGATTGTTCTGTCTCTGTGTATTGTAAAGTCCCATTAAATTTTTACAGGTCCCATCTCTGTAACCGGGTCTGAGTGATGTTCCTGGTCAATTCATGCAGTTTACTTCACGTAAAAGTTTCACGTTTTCCAGTGCAGATATTGGCCGATTCTATCATGTTTTTTTTTTTGTGGAACCTAACACAATATTGTCAATATTTACTGGATATTTATCACAGAATCAGCATTTCGTGTTAACACAATTTTTCAGTATGTCTATTTTGTAGTTTCTAGTTAACAATTATTGACCCTGTGCAGCAAGAATAAAACCTTTGATTTCATCTTTTAATCCTGAACTACATAACCAATCATGGATACCGGGTCTGTCTATATCAGCTTGTTTGGTACGGGCAGAGTATTTACTATGAAGATGCTTATCTTGGCATCGTTTTTACATTTAGTACATTGCATTTGCTTTTGCATTTTTAGGTTCTTTAAGGCTGCAGTTGATGTATTATTATTTATTTGCACTTCTTCGCTTACTTTAAATTTAATTTTGAATTTGTTGGCTTCCTTTATTACTGAATAAAGTTTCTTTTTATTTCTTTCATGTTCTTTGACACAGATCATCATGCAATCTTCTCTAGTTCTCAGTTATCTTTGAAGACTGATTGTTGTAGTATTGTGAAACAGTTCTAGTTGAACTAATCCTCTACCTCCTTCGGATCTAGACACATGCAGACGATCGACATTAGCCTTAGGGTGATGCATGCAGTAACAAGTGAGACATTTTCTCGTTTTGACATCCATTCGCTTAATCTCAGTTAAGGATGTTGAAACTGTAATTCACCAAACAGACAGCCAAAGTGTTTATGGATGATATTCTGATTTGTGAATTCAGTTCGGTATTTAACACCAGTCGCACATGTCTGTAGTATCATTTTTTTTTTTACTTTCTCCTTCATTTGGGTATGCCGTATTTTGTCGCCTTCGCTGGCTCCTAGATATTTATATGAGTCTTCTTGTTTCAGTTCCCTAATACTTGAGATAAAATCTAGGTCTACTGGGTGTATTTTTGTAATTCTCCTTTACTTGGATGTTACTTTTTCACATTTGTCTAATCTAAAATTGTTATATACCGTACCTATGAGCACTAATGGGTATGTCCCAATCTTCATAAATGCGTTGGACACTATTGTAAGTGCGGGGTAATGGGGGTGTCTAAGTAGTCCACCACTAGCAGTGGTTTACCTACTTCACGCCGCTGGCGAGTATTGTATATTGTTGATGTCATAAAGATGCTATTTCATTTTGAAACCTCTGTTTTAGTTATTCCTCATTCGGTAACCCTTTCTAGGTTACAACAGAAATCCATACCGATATCATCTCTCAAACATTTTCAGTATTTAGGATATCCTTCAACCCATTCTCGTTTTTAGCAATGAGTTTGATATCATCCATGTAGAATGGGTGATTAAACAATTTCTTTTTTACTTTGTATCCATAGTTATTACTGTTTAGTTCATGCGAAAGGGAGACTAAAGACAAACATAAGAGAAGGGGTTGACAAAGAGCCCCCTTGAAAGATTCCTCGTCGGATATTCAAAAAATTGCAAGTGCCAGTACCTTTGGTCTGATTTTGGTATAATGTGATTTTCCACATTTCCATGCTATATTTAAGGAAATTTACTATCACCGAAGAGATATTATAAATTTCAGAGCCTTAAGGATCCAAGAGTCTGGCACATTATCAAATGCTTTACAGTGGAGGCATGGTGGAGTAATGGATAGCGGCTCGGATTGAGAAATCAGAGAGCCGAGTTCAAATTCCAGTTGATTCCATTACATTCACTTACGTGCTAATATCCTTGGGAAAGGTATGAATTCTCTTCTTCCCCCAGCTACGGGTAAATAGCAAGACAGATCGGGTTCTATAGCCTTGAATGGCATCTGGTCAACCGCAGAAGGAAATGGCAATCTACTTTGTTAATGTTAAACATCTCTTGTCAATAACTCATAATTAATGGCCTATTCCGTTTTGATCTTGTAGAAAGAGAGTAAAAGACTCTATATGGATTCAGTGAGTAAATGAAAGAAAGAAAGAAAGAAAGAACGGAAGAAAGAAAGAAGGGAAGGAAGAAAGAAAGATAGAAAGAAAGAATGATGGGAAGAAAGAAAGAAAGAAAGAAAGAAGGGAAGGAAGAAGGAAAGAAAGAAAGAAAGGAATGTAGAAGTGTTAGCTGTTGTGTAAGTGAAATGGAAAATGTTATCAATTTCTAATCTTTTCATTTGTACCCACTTCTTAAAATGACGACCAGCTTTCATATTTATGATTCTTATTGCAATATGTTGTTAAAGTTGTTAAGCTCAAATATTTAAAGCTGCGATAGTAGAATTTCTACGAATATTTTATTGTCATAGACCTTGCCATGAGCTTATTGAATCATTAACTGAATAATTAAGTTTCGGTGGGAATTTAAAATAGGAAAACTGTGAAATTTTCACGGGTTACTAGTTGAAATATAAATCATCATTTAAAAAAAATAGCCGTGAATCAGACTGGTTAGCAGCTCTTGTTCGGTAAACTGTATTCTGTGAACCCATAGCCCCTAACTAGTAGATTTATCATTGTTGACGAAGATACAGTCGAAAGAAGGAAACATTAAAGTCATTGATTCAAACTAAAAGTTAATCTGTCATTTGCATCTAAAAGTTCACTGACTCCTAAAAAAAAAAACAGATCAACTTTAGATGCAGATGATTGTCAAATATGCTTCGACCCGAGTCAGTTTAATGTTTTAGATAGTATCTTTGATGCGTTGTTCAACGAGTACACAAGAGGTAAATTCTTAAAGACATTTTTTTTTAAAATTCAGAAGGGAATGCTCTTCGCTATTTGTCAATAGTTTTGCTGACCGTTTCTTTGTTGCTTAAATTGCTAAAGAGTTGCCACTTTCAAGAAAATGATCATCTATTATTGGCTCTATATTTCTCTCCATTTTCTCCACCCCAAACACTATTTATATATCTTATATGAATCCCACTCTCTTTAACTCACTCACTCTGTCTCTATCTCTATCGCTGTCTCTTTCACTCTTTCTCATTCTCTATCTATATCGTTATCTCTCTCTCTCTCTTTTTCAGTCTACCGCTTTTCTCTCACACTTATCCCGGTATTGCCAGCGAAAGTACGATAATAAATAAGTTTTTTTTTAGGCGAAACACTTTAACACTTTAACTTAATGACTTATGTAAACATCTTGGTAGAAACTGTGGTTACATAAAGATCACTGTTTCGAATATCTATCTATCTATCTATCTATCTATCTATCTATCTATCTATCTTCTCTCTCTCTCTCTCTCTCTCTCTCTCTATATATATATATATATATATATATATATATATATATATATATATATATATTTTTTAGGCACGTCTGACTTAATAAATTACAAACGTTACGTCTGGTTATTTTGATCATAATCCTTTCTTAGCCCCGAATATTTTTCCGTATATTATATTTAAATGAGCCAAGAAATATTCGTGAATATGAAAGGATCATGACCAAAATAATCAGATATAAAGTTTGTAATTTATTCAATCAGACATGATTAGAAGAGAATTTTGGCTAAATACAATATATATATATATATATATATATATATATATATATATATATATATATATATATATATACGTTAGTTCTATCACAAATATTAAATGCTTTCCAATAAGTACCAGGCATATATAATATATAAATACTATATATAAAATTGCATACAGATACACATGCACACAAACACATATATATATATATATAGATATAGATATAGATATATATCAGCTTCGCTTTCATTCTATTTATATCGCTGGCCCTTCTCACTCTTACTATCGCTACCTCACTCTCTTCATCACTATCACTATTACTATCTCTCACTGTCTCACTCTCTCTCTCTCTCTATATATATATATATATATATATATATATATATATATTGCTTTCTATTTCTCTCCATACACCTACACAACTAATATGATAAAATAATTCACTTACCTTGTCACCGAGTTTCGTGTGTATATTTATATGTCCAATCTTTGCCGGATTTCTTAGTAAACTGAAATTGTATGTATATGTTCTTTTCTGTAACAAATCCTTCGTCTTCGTGCGCGTAGCCGAGCAAAAGTCTGAAATTTCGACAGGTTTCCGAAAGAGAAATTTCGTCTGCACGACTCAAATAAGTATCGATGTCATGCATGAGTCCTTAATATTCACTCAGCACTCGTCAAGATTTTCGCTAAGAAATTGGACCGCCGTTTTGTCCTATTTGGGAGGCATCAGCAATGCGCATCCACTAACGAGAATCAAACCCGGACCGTTACGGCACGATGCAAGCCACTGGACCAACGGACCTCAGTGACGAAAAAGAAACTGACTAAACTCGATATAGCGCCGCTACTTACAAATTCCGTGGTGATACTCATCCAAGTATTCCTAACCCAACGTGTTGTGCCCCAAGAGCAACGTCTTCCTTGCCCTTAGCCGATCCATCTCAGAGCATTAGCTAAGTCAAGCTACGATGTACAAGTGATAGAAATTTTTGAGAATAATCATTATAGTAATTGATCGAGTCTTTGTGGTTAGGAGGTTCGCCTTCTGATCATGAGACCCGGGTTCGAATCTCACCATGGTCAATTTGTCAGAAAAGAGTCTTCCTGGTGTTATATCATTGGAGGGGGTTGATCCCCGGGTGCGACACTTTTGGAAAGCTTTTAAAAATCATACCAAGAGTTGACCCAAGCCTTGAGAGTGAAATTGGGTAGATGGAACTGAGGTCTTGAGCGTGCTGGCTTTGTTCAAATTGTTGATCATGCTCGATAACACGCTCTATCTAAGGGCTGTAATTAAGGTCTCTTAAGCATAGTTGCAGTTTAAATCACAGGTGGGTTCTATTGGTGTTGAATAAACCCAAATGCGGCTGAGAAAGAGTCTGCAATAGGGATTGCCTAGCCGCCCTTTTAGACGAGTATCAACGAATAAAAGTGGCCAACTATACTGCTACCATAACTGGTTTGGTGAATGTCGAGATTCTTGTCAAAATTCAAACAAGTGTCTGCAATTTAATCCATCCTGACTTGGCATCTCGCCTACCTGATGTAACTTCTCTCTGTTTTTTCTATAAATATTTTCGTAGTAACTGTTCTGAGAAGCTTTTTTTATCTTAGTGCCTCGACGGTATCAATTTAAGCCTGTTATTACATTAACAACTAAGGTGTCATTGTTTTAATGTTGAAATATTTTGATGCACCCACCACTCGTATTCTAATAGTTTCTTTTCGCGACTATGGAACTCCCTTACGCTTACCTGCATTCCACACACCTACCATCTTCGAAATTTGCATGTAACGTCAATCGCGATCATCTGTCTTCTGGAATCCTGTTTCGTTTAATGTTCTTTTTCTTAACTTTTAAAGTCTACGTCCAAGTAGCATTATCGCTGTCCTTCGAATATATATATATATATATATATATATATATATATATATATATATATATATATAAGTGAACATATAAGTCAACACTTACAGGCGGCAGTCTGTTTCATGTGGCAGTCTGTTTCATCGTCAGGCCACATGCTAGATGGAATCGTGACCTGACGATTGCATCTAGCATGAAACAGACAGTCGCCTCTAAGTGTTGACTTATATGTTCACTTTTATATTTACACACGCTCTATCTCTGATATTGAGCACTTTATCCCATAAATATAGTACATCTCAAGACTATATTTCTTCATATGTGTGTGTGTGTTTGTCTGTGTGTGTGTGTGTGTGTACCGGGTGTAACAGCGAAATTGTCCAAAACGTGTAACAGAAAAATTGTCCAGTTGCTAGATTAAGATTTAAACCGTTGTATCTTAGACATGATTAAAGATATCTTACTGGAATTCAACGAAGTTTTTATAACACTATTGGACTCTACTTTGAGCAATAAGAATGTGTATTAAGTATACACACACATATATATATATCTATATAAATACACATACACACGCATACGTATATGCATACGTATTTGCATATATCCACATACGGAAGCAAGCGTAAATATATCAACGCATACAGGAACATAAAAAGTAAAACACCAATATATATATATATATATATATATATATATACACATATATATATACATACACATATATATATATACACATATATATAAATATATATATATATATATATATATATATATATACACACATAAATAGGCATATGCACACATAAAGCTGCACATATTATAACAATATTATCTTATTGACGATAAAGGACTGTAAAGTCCATCCAATATTAAAATGTAACGAGACACAATTGTTGATTATTATGTCTATAAGCAATTATAAAACCATAATCAAACAAAAGTAGATTTTAGTTAGTATTGATGATACATTCGAAGACACTAAGATATACATACATATACATATACGAAGACATACCCTCATACATCCACATCTACACATATATAAACATGTATAAATATCCATATATATATATATATATATATATATATATATATATATATATATATATACCTACATCAACATATACACATATATAAGTACGCACACATACATATATATATATATATATATATATATATATATATATATATATATATATATATATATATATACCTGCACATGTAGACTCTTACTAAAGTTTACATACCTACACATACGTAAAAACAAGCACACATATGATAGGTGTCAACAGACACACACGCACATATAACTATAAACACAGATATATTTGTATATACAGATAAACACATACACATTCAACCATACATACATATACATATACATATAAACACACACACATACATACATACCCCTACATACATACACATAATATATATATACCCTCACACAGAAGTACACGCAAATAGAAATATATACATACACACACAACCGGATATATATATATATATATATATATATATATATATATATATAATTGCCTCCTCCCTTTTTATCCTTTTTTTCCTTTTTACCTACGGACAAATATATATATATATATATATATATATATATATATATATATATATATATATATATTTACCAGAAAAACACACATACACACACACACACACATGCAGACACGAACAACACAGTACACAAATATACACCCCATCAACAGGAGGACCATCAGGTTCTTATTTTGAAAAACTTTGTGAAATTA